TTACTAGGTATTGCGTCCTTACCGTAAAGGCCATCCAAGAAGACTAGAACTAAGGAGAGTCAACACCAATAGCGGTAGTGGGGGGGAGGCAAAAAGTGGCGACGGATAACTTCCCCCACTCTTGCGCTTCATTAGTCCTCTCTGTCGCTCTATATAGTCGTCGCTCTGTCGTTTTATAATCGTCACTTTGTCGCTCTTATATCGAACTTTCACACAATGCGCAGTGCCGCTGCACATCGTGTGAATAGCCGCGGACGTTTTTTGACTCACCCCCACCACGCGAGTTGATCCTCCTTAGTTCTAGTCTTCTTGAGGCCATCACACGTACAAAAATTTTAGTCGTAATCGTAAGGCCGTAAGCAAATCGGCCAATCACAGTCGAGCGTTTTTAAACACGAGATCGTAATTTTGATTGTGATTGGTCGATACTTGCGACCTTACGATTACGACTAAAATTTTTGTACGTGTGATGGCCTTAAGAACGGACTATGAATTCCGTTCTTACTCTACGCTCTGTTACATCCTTAGCTACAAGTGAATGATTGATCAATATAGAATTAACGTCAATCGACGTTGAATTAACATTGATTTGACGTCGGCGACGTTGAATCAACATCGATTTGACATTCATCGACTACCCATTAATGGCTTAGCTGGAAAACCAGCTTACTCCCGACATAGTTACAGTCTCTACTGCTACTATTCATTGTAGCCACGCAGAAAACCAGCTACTCCCGACATGTTTACACTCTCTTCTGCTACTGTTCATTGTAGACGGCGTATTCGACTTTACGGACGGAATCCATAGTCCGGTCTTATGCGAGGTCTACAATAGAAGTCGTAGCAGTCGTAAGGTCGTAGAAAATTGATCAATCACAGTCGAATATGAGAAGAATAATCAACTGTGATTGGTCAATTTTCTATGACTTAAGACCGCTACGACTTCTATTGCAGACCCCGCATTAATCTCAAGCAATGGCTGCGTTCAGCAGACTCAACAGTTTTGCAACCGTTTTATGATTGTCTGCTGAGATAGGACCATTCTTCTAGATCTAAAAGTATGATCCAATTAGCGCGAAGGAAACTTACAACAGTTGCAAAACAAACGTTCTGCTGAACGCACCCAATGTCTTAAGATGCTAATACGGCTCTCTGATTGGTTCATGCACTAGCTTAAGACTATCTCGAATCTTCAAACAACGTCTATGGCCGAAATCAGACTATGCATTGAAGATTGAGATTGGCTGCGTTCAGCAGAACGG